TTTTATCAGAAACTATCAGAAACTTCTGTTGTTATTATCTTCACTCACCTCCGACTCCAAATCCGTTGGCCAGTAATTCAAACACTTCATTTTTCATAAGCTGAAACAATGAATGTCGACGACAATTAGGTTCTATTTATTGGCACAATCGCATATTTCCGTATCTAAAACGTCGAGAGCCTACGATGACATTGCAAAGAAAGTAATTTTATTAGATGAAAAACGTGTAAATTTTATAATCAATATTTGGGGCTCATGAAAACTGTGTTGAGCCAAACGTACTAACAATTAATGATACCAGTGTCACTTTTCTGACACGCCTCAACCAGTGAACAAACACATTGCAGTGAAGCGTTGTTACCTACCACTGTCAAAATCATTGGGTACATGTATTTCATGTAATTCATTTTGTTTTGTTTTTAAATCAACGTCGTTTCACAAAGATTACTGGTTTAGTAGTAGTATATACTGTTTATTGAACACAGCCACAGTATATATTCAAATAAGTGATATTTTTGATATTTCAAGGTATTGGTATACTGGTATCATACAATATATCAATAATCCATCGTCTTGTAACAATACAATAATATCACCAATTTCTCCTACACAATTAATTCCCCTCAAATTTTTGTATCCTACCTCCATCACGGGTTCTATGATATTTTCAAAGGCATTGTTAAGACAGTCCACAGCGTTGTAGAAACAGTACTTTAAATCATCGTAGATATCAGTCATAAAATACCACAAGTCAACATACACATTATCGAAAAAATCGATGATGTCATCTGCCACCTCTGCCAACGTGCGTATTGGTTCCTGGTACAGTACCTCATTGAAATGTTCAGCAACCACTTCACCAATATCAATGAATGCATCTGTGACGTCACCAGCCGCCTCCGCCAACCATCCCCATCCTTTCTTGCGGTGAATCTTGCGTTTTGACAACGACCGTAAAAAGGAATCTACTTCCTTTTTGAGTATGTATTTGTCGTTTCCGCCGCGCTGTGTTTTATCCGACAGCAAGTCCAATCGCTTGCGAAGTGACATCTGGCGTTCTGTTGAAGGAATAATAAATGATTCGAAAACAATCATAGAAGAATTCAATTATGCACTGTGCATATGTATACGTCAATGCACCACGGTGGAACGGAACTCCCGACAAAATAAAATAAAATAAAAGTAAAAACAATTACGTCACTGGCAAAACACAAAATAAATTGCATTATAATATGCAATAATATTAAGATCAATGACAATAACAATACGATCCGTTCAAGTCCTTGTAACATTCTATATGATTCTATCCCATACTTACACCATACACACAAATTTCGCCATTTACTAATATAACGTGACTCGAAATATTGTCTGGTGAAACCAGTTGTTTTTTTGTACTAAAGACACGAAGCCATAACAGTGGCACGAGCATGGCAGAAATTACATATAATTTTCAATTCCGACATATAACCTCATTAATTCCCATGAACCATCCATGATAATATCACGTAGTATCAAATGATTTACTCTCTAAATATTCTGACTGTGTTACCAAATATCCCATAAACCAATTACAGATAACCAATTTGGATTACAAAGATGCTAGTCTAGGAAGTTAAAACTAGATTGATTACTGTACATTAATTTCACTTGAAATTTATTTTCGCTGAAGGAATGAATAGCTAAAATGAAAATGCAGTGAATATAGCTTTTCTTTCTATATTTTCCATTCAACTCATCAAGGATCAATGTAAATAACTCCATAAAAAACAGCCAAAATGTCTTTTGTGCGAAAATTAAATCCAGCTAAACCCAACTTCTACAAAACGTTGTTCAGACACGTCCATCGGAGAAATAAAGTTACGTTGTTAGTTTCCTGTACGTCACACCCTCTCGCGACAGAGCGTTTATATGACGTCAGTGTTGTTGAAACTGACAACTGTGATTCATTGGTTGGTCTTTCATCTTATAGAATATAGTGAACTTTGAAAACATCACTTTATTGACGGATAATTACAAATTTAAACAATACTGACGAGGCGAACGGCGGAACGGTACAGCACAGTACACGTTAACACTAGAAGGCACAATTTTATTGTACGGTGTATTTACATTAGCCATTCACTGGTGATACTAACATTATTATATGGATTAGATCTCGGCAGACTTATGAATCAGATTAAATAACGCTGAATATAGTGTTGCATAATACTAAGTGATTAGAAAACCTTATGAGAATGATTTACACAGACAGGGCTAGCAGCGTCTGTATACTGAAAAAAAAATGATCAGTGTGATCTAAAGAATCTGATAACACAGGGGAGGCTAGATGACAGAGACAAGTAACGACAATGAAGTATGTGACATCGGAGAAGATTTTTATGGAGTGAAATATCACATGACGGCAAAGAAATCACAGCTAGAATTAGATTGACTTTGCAAAACCAGTGTTATTCCAAGAAAAAAACACATACGCACGGACAACAAAATATGTTAATTATTTTTATCGTATTTATATTCGATTATTCTAAAACGTTATACAATAAGGTTGCCCTACTTCATCTTTGCTATGTGGAGAAAACATATCTTAAGCATTTAGAATCTGCTGCACAGTTAGCGCAATGTATTTCAGTTATTTGCATAAGTGTCAATATGAACGGATAGAAAGTTGAACCTCACTCACATCAATTTGTAATATTTGTATAACCTAATTATTTTGACAACTTTTCGTCAGATTTATTAAGTGCAATTTGAGTTAAGGAGTAAGAATGCCGACGACTTACCTTGCCATGTATTGATAAGAGACACGAGATCGTCTCCCAATTTTGCCCATTTCAGGTCATCCCCGTCGCCAAATTGTGCACTGGGTTGACCAGCTGTGAGATGCACAGAGGTGAGAAAGATCAGCGTAATCACACAATACATCGCCTGGGAAAAATACAAATAAAGGTAATTACTCCTATCATTATGACGTGACAAACTTGCAATCACAAGTTATCATTATAGATTGCAGTACAGTGTATATCGATACACACTGCAGATAAATTATATAAAACAGGTTTTTTTCTTCAACTGTAAATTTGCATAAATTAATTATGCTAATTGTGGTATTAATGGTACATCATCTCTATCTTCCTGTGAAAATGGGAATCTCCTGTAATTCCCATAAATGAAGAATCCAATTACATTGAAAAATGTCAAATTTGTTTGGCACTTAAGTCATGATTTAATTTGCGATTTAAAATCATTTTACAACGAGACACTGATGACTATCTTTCAGTCACATATAAAGAACACAGTTCACACAGCACACTGCGCATTAACTGTCAATTTCATATGTTGAAGGCTGTAGTTTCCTACATCCCTTCTCGGGAAGTATTTGGCATAAATATTACATATTGTAAGCTACATACCATAAAGCCTGCATTCGTTCCAAACAATACGTCTCTGCTGATAACGATCAAATTGGCACCATACTGAAGCAGTGATTCTAGAAACTCGACACCATATGTCAGATATTTTCTAAAATATGTTGATTGGCTCTGTGACGTTGTGTCCCTATTTCCCAATTGAAGCTCGCGTTACGTAACACAGTTCGTGCAATGAGGTGTTCTTCTTGGAGTAGCCAATTAAAAAGGCGTATCGCGATATGCAAATTGATAAACGCCACTAAGTATGTGATAAACACACGCGTCTAGTGATGCTCTACTGTTGCATTTAAGGCCCGGTCTTTGATTTATTACCCGAAATTGTCGACCAGGGTCGTTATCGCAGGTTTATTTTAAACGCACTGGTCGACTCGATTTGTGTTATGCCACGATTGAAGTGAATCAGCGGCTACGTCACTGAGCAACTTACGACTAGTATATACTAATACTACAATGCATCTGGGCTTTCTCGCTGTGTTTGTGGTCCTCACGCACTCCGCATGCGACGACGTCACTAATAAGAGGAACTCTAATCCTGGGAATCCTTCACCGCTACCCGGAGAGTATAAGTACACGGCAACAATCGGAAAATTGCTAATTCTGAAATTACGCTCTTCGGAATCATGCTTTGAGAAAGTCGAAGATATTGCCAGTCTACTGGAGCAAATGATTGGTCTGTAATTTTTTATTTATTTATTCGATTTTAAAGCTGGTGGAAACATGTACGTGTTTTTACTCCCGTGACGAGCATTGATAATCCGTTTTTATAACTGATGACACGATGTATGCTGCATTACGTTTTATGCGCAGTAATTCGAAGTTCAACAAAGATATTACACGTAAACTCAATACCTAATTATTGGTAAAATGCTGTCAGTTATGACGAGTCCTATAAGTAAAGATTCATTTTTCCATACATAGTATTGAAGAATTATTTATACACACTTGCTGATTATTACACAATTATTAAAGGGCGGTGGTCGTCGCGCCGCGCATGTGCGACATTTGTGTTGATAAATATTGATTTTTCCACAACCCAATGCGATCTTCTAATTGAAATCATAAGTATGAGTTTTGACCTGGGCGCGAGCTGCACTAATCACCTAAAATTACCCGATTAAAGCTTGGTAACGTCTCAGTGTGTATTCGTTGAGCTGCGCAACAGTTAAAGTCGCCGTCTTTGTTTATAATGAGACTCGTATCTCGCGCATGCGTGGCG